GCACCCTGGAGCAGCAGCCCCGAAGCCACGGGTTTCTACGGCCTGGGTGCTGTGGGGCATTTGCAAACATGGCTGAGTTCTATGGCTCGTCCCTGAAGCCTACCTATCATGTGCCTTTCTGGTCTGTGGGATAAGCGATAAGCCTTCTCTGTGCTCACCTGAATACCATACAGTCCAGGGAATTTAGGCCTCAGCCGATTTATTTTTCCTTTTGTGGTATCTAGATACCCTCACCAAAAAATACTAGCAAAAACTGATGAGATACACTTGTCGAACCGCACCTACTCTTATGAACAGATGAAATCCTTTAGAATCCCCTTAATGTTTCTCTGCAAATATTAGCTATGCCATCCTGGTTTAAGATGCTTGAGAAACCTGAGCTGTGCTAACACAATTAATTTGCTCATTATATACATCTTCATCAGCAGGGAAAGGTAAATCCCAGGCCAGCCGGGGATGATATTAAAAATTCCAAATGAGTGGGTTTTACAGAAATGAGTACTGAACATTTTTAAGTGTTTCCCCCCGCCCTCTGGTAGTTGCAGTGTTATTTAATTCATAGTCCATGGCTATGCCGTGTACCCATGTCAACAATCCTAACCTTTTATAATCCCTTAACAATCATTTTACAGCGTGGGCTGCGAATTTAGCAGCCTGCCATGGGCTTCTGGATGTGATTACGGGCTGGCAAATTGTGGAGCCCCACGGTGGAATATTCTCACTCCATCACATCATGTTGTAAAGTTGGGGTCCCACCCCCCTTCAATCTGCTTCCTAAGGCTTTTGCTGTTGTCTCTACCACAGAATTTGCACTTTGCGTCTCTGTGCAGCTCCCCGTCTGGAAGATTTCTGTGTGCTGAGAATGTAGTCGTGCTGTCACCCCCATCACTGATTCTGCTTCCCCCATGCAGGCTTCTGTGATATGGCAAACCCCATGGCTCTTTACAGTTCCTCCTAAGGAAGTTTACCACCTCCTCTTGGCTATATCTCTGTAATTCATATTCAAACCTTATTTCTCCAGCTCTTCTTAAGAGCAGGGTATTGGCCTTGGTTGTGATTCTAAACTCATTTCTTCCCTAGGCTGTAACTGACATTGCATTGTGATTATCAATTTGCCTTGCTAGCTCGAGAGTACCTCTAGGGAGCGTGATCTATCTACCTATCATGGGAGGATTTGAGGTCTTCCTTACGTGGAAATTGTTCCTTCTACTGTAGCACCCGAGGTCAGAAATTCCACGGAGAGAAATAACTATTTCATTCTTTAAAAAAACGTTTATGTATTCTGAGAGAGAGCCAGAGAGGGTGCAGGGGCAGGGCAGAGAGAGAGCGAGAGAATCCCCAGCAGGCTCCTCAGTCAGTGCAGAGCTTGACACAGGGCTTCCATCCCATGGACCACGACCCCGGGCCAAAATCATGAGTCAGATGCTCACCTGACTGAGCCACCCAGGAGCCCCAGAAATAAATTATTTTCCATTGAGCATCAGGGTCTCCAAATGCCAACTGTCGTGGGAAAGGTAAGGCATCGTTCTCTGCACAATTGGTTTATGAGATGGTTCCCCCGGAGACCAAAGGAGATGTGGAAAAGTAAGCGAGGACTGGCTCCTTGCTGGGGAAGAGAAGCCGAAAAGAAATAGGTGATGGAGGAAGATGCAAGTGTATGAACCTACGTTAAGCGACTAACGTCACAGGGCTGGCTGTGCAGGACATAGCAGCATTCTGAGGTGACCGCCTGCAGGTGCCTCCGCGCCTCTTCCCGATAGCCACTGTGCACAAGCCCTCCTCATAGTGCGCTAACGTAGGGCACTAATTGCGACACAGGTTACAGGCTGTGGCACCCACATTGTGCTGGTCCCCTCTGCAAAGCATTTGTTCGTGGTCCACCTTGTCTTTGAACGTGAGGCCTCCGGTGGCACATTTGATTCCAACTGTTGACTTTGTTCTTCTTGCCATCCGAATTGGATTTCTAGACCTACTGTAACTTGGCTGAGAATCCTTCCAACACTACCCTCCATGTGACCACGAGGAAAATTAGCAAACAAAGTAACCGCAGGACTTAGGCACGGCGGGGGGGGGGGGGGGGGGGGGACCCCCAAAAAACCAAAAATGTGACGGGGGGAATATTAAAAAAACCCCCCGGGACAGGGGGACCGCCAG